ACAATGGAGTGGCATTGGCACAGATGAACACCATGGAAAGAGCGGTCACCTGTCTATGCAAGGTGTTGGGCGCTAAGCCCTTATCCACTCCATCCATGAGGTATTCAAGAATCATTGGAATAGTGACAGAAGAGATAGACAAACCCTTACAGGTACACCAATCACAGAAGTTCTTCCAAGTGGCATCATAGATCCGATTCGTCACCGGCCGTCTGGAAGCTTGGATCATAGCTATCACCCTTGAAGCCTCAAGTCACTTTGACTTTCGGAAAGGACGATCTCCTCTGCCGCGAAAGGGCCGCTTAGCCTGGAATTGTGGCTTTGGCTTGTCTCTGTAGCTGAACCGGTCTGATGAGCGGTCTGGCCCTGCTTGAAATGGCCGATACCTGCTCCAGGTAGTTCGGTCTGAGCCAGACTTAAACGACGGACGCCGGTTGTATAGAGAAAAGGTCTGCCTGTTTTTTTTGACAATATGAGCTAGTATCTTCAACTTTTCTGAAGACCTGATCTTCAAAAAAGGAGGAAAAAAAAATATCCAGGGAAGAAGCTGGACAAGATAATCAAACAACAGATCTGCAAACAGCTAGAAGCAAGCAAAGTTATAACCACAAGTCAAAAAGGGTTTGTCATAAACAGATCATGCTAAACAAATCATATTTCATTGTTTGACAAAAAATTAGTGGGCTGGTGAAATGCAGTGGACATGGTATACTTGGATTTCAGTAAAATACTTGACAAAGTAGACCACAACCTACTTCTTGGTAAGCTAAAAAAATGTGGGATAGACAGTATCACCAGGTGGATTTGTAGCTGACATATCAGTTTTAAAATGATCATGTTGCAATCTACTTTCTAGGCAAAAAGAGACTTATTTGAACCATAACTTAAGTCAAAACTAAAGAAGCAATTAAAATGTTTACAATGAATAAAACTCCAGAATCCAATGCTATTTCTGCAGGATATTATAAGGCTCATTAAGAAATCCTGACTAAATCTTGAATTCAAATAATTAATGAGATTCAAGTATGTGAAGAACTTCCTCCATCACGGAAAGAGGCCTTTATTTCCTTAATTTATAAAGGGAGAGATAACACACATCAGTAGCCCTATTTGAGGATCACGCCAATCAACTGGAAAGGGGATTCCTTAATTTGACATGGTGAATAGGCTGCATTTACTAAGTGAAGATTGCTCACATTTTGCTCTGGATTTATTTGTATCATAGCCAACAGCTACACAGTTAATAAACTTAAACACACACACACACAGAGACACACACACACACACTCCTGAAGTACTCCTGTCTGCCTCAGCATTAATGCTCTGAGATGATCCATCCTTGTCTATGGGCTATTTTTGGAAGATCAGTGGACTTCTGTGTACCTGTTTTCCAGAAGACTGTCAGAAATGGGTTGAAAAACAGTCCGGCCCAGTGGGTGGGGGAGAGAACATGTGAGCTGAGAAGAGGTTCACATAGCAAACTGAGAAAGTTCCCTGCTGCCTCCTCCTAGCCTGTCAGCTGCCCCACTGACTATGGACTATTTTTGGAGAGATGCTTGACAAAAAGCTGGTAAACAGGCTCATCAGTCATCCTCTTCCTCAGGGACATACGCAGGCACTGCTAGGTCAGACTCTTAATGGACGTAGTCCAGCAGTTTGTTCTCATAGTGCTCAAACAAGGAAGGAAGCCCACTAATCTCCCTGCTATTCCACTCTCAGATAGTCACATTTCATCAAGGCTAATAATCATTGATCCCAAAGGTTTCCATGAATTGGCCGAACCCATTTTTCAAGCCACTTAAGAAGGAGCTAATACTATATTTCATAATAGTGAATTTCAAAGTTTAATTATGCATTGTGTGGAAAAAAAAAAAAAAGGCCGTTGGCTGTCCTGACCCTTCCAGGATTCAATTTTACTGAATGGGCCTCTAGGTCTAGTATTTTGGGAAAGAGAAAAACAGTTTCTATGTGCCCATTTAATCCACATCATGCCCAATTCTGTAGATTTCAAGCATATCTCCTCCTTTCATTTGCCTCCTTTCTAGAGAAGCTGCTCCAACCCCTTCGTCATCTTAGCTGTCCTCCTCTGAACCTTTTCTAGCTCTATTGTCTCCTTTTTTGGGGAGCAGCTACCAGAACTGCACACAGTATTCCAGATCAGGTTACACTATGGATCCATATAAGAACATTAGGATATTGCCATCTCTGTTTTCAGTGCCACTTCTTATTACTCCCAACATGCTGTTGGCCTTTTTTTTTAATACAGCAGATGCTCACTGTGTCAGCACCTCCATTGATCTGTTGACCATTGCCCCAAGGTCTTTTTCCTCATCAATCATTGTTAGCTGATCCTGTTAATTTGTATGAGCACTTACAATTTGGGGTGCCAATGTGCATCACTTTACCCTTCCTCACATTGAATGGCATCTGCCATTTTGATACACATTCCCCTAATGTGCAGATATGTCTTACTGTTATTACTACTCTGAACAACTTAGTGTCATTAGCAAACCTGGCTATTCCATTAGCCATGCCTGATTCCAGATCATTTATAAATGTGTTAAAAAGCACCTGTCCTAGGACAGAATCCCAGGATTCCTATACTTTAGCCAGTTCTTTATCTGCAAAAAGATCTGCTTTTATTCCATGGCTGTTCAGCTTACTAAGAAGTCTTTGATGAGGAACTTTATCAACAGCTTTTTGAAATCTAAGAAGATATTATCTACTGGCTTGCCCTCATCCATATGATTATTATCACTCTCAAAAAACTAATAGATGAATTAGATGGACCTTTCCTACATGAAAGAAAGGTCTTCCTGTTAGATCCTGATTATCTGTGGGATCACATTCTCCCAACAATTTCTACCCACTTGTTGAGACCTGGAAAAGAGGACTCCCTCTAAATCCCATCATTTTGGGAAAATCTCTTGCAGGATTCCCGCGGTTGAAGCCTCCCATTCAGTGTCCCCTTCACTGGAAAAGCACTGCCCTTAGTATCAGGTTGGCCCCAGCTGGCTTGCTTTTTGCAATTCCATATTGACCAGGCTATTTCAGCAAGATTTTGGGCTGAAGGAATCGTTTTAATCTCTCCTGAAGTGGATGGTGTTCCAGTTGTTCCTTGGAGCATGGAATACTACCGATTAAATTGTTGATGCAGTGTTATTTTATTATTATACGTTATTATATTTTTATTATTATATGTTTCTACTGTTTTGTTTTACTCTTATTACTGTTTTAGGAGTTCAGTAAGCTGCTGCTGCATCAGGCATGACTCAAGTGGTATATAAGACTATTGAAGTAAAATAAATAGATAAAATAAATACTTAGGCTACAAAGTGAAATTGGCTAAATTCATGTCAACTTTACTCCAGCACCAGATGGCCTAAATTATTAAGTGCTTCAGAAAAGAGAAGTGTGCTAATTCGGGCAGTAGTGGGATTAATATATGTGAACAACTGGTTCTCTATGGATGCCGCTTCTGGAAATCTGTTCTGGGCCTGGGCAACAAAAAATTAGCTACCTGTTCTCCTGAAGTGGTGCGAACCGGCTGAATCCTACCACTGAATTCGGGACACAATCAGCAATACATTTTAAATTTAATCAACACATGGCCTCCTGTAATAAAACCATGTGCATTTCCAGAGTTCCTTAAGAGTAAAGTAAATGCTAAAGACACAGAGGGGAACTGGGAAGAGAAGGTGAATTAAGGAGACCAACTGCCTTGAAACCCCACAAGAGGAGGGCATGGATTAAATTAAAAGAAGTAAACAACGTTGCATCACTCTATGTTTTTATATTAACCTCCAAGCATCAGTGAGGCAAGATGGAAACTGAGAATTGCATACAGAGGAGGAGTTTGGGAGATGCAGCTCTTCTGCAGCTGGGAAATGCGGTTGAGGCATCTCTACCAGCGCAGGCCTGAGTTGTGGTTCTGGATCTGGGAAAGCCCTATTGTCAGAATCAGAGCCATCACAGGGCTGGAACCTGGTGGTACTCATCGCTCAGCCTAATGATCATTCACTTATTAAAAAGTAACATTCCCAGAAGTAAGGGTCGCTTAATAGGGTAGTATTGCTTTTTCAAGTGAAACTTAAAATACTCATGAGATTAAGTTGATAGCCCACAAATAAATTCTGGTGTTGTTGTTGTTTTTGTAAAAGCATCACTGGGTCCAGTGGTCCGTCCCAGCAAATTTTTCCTCTATAGCTTGCTGTCTAATTAGCCTTTTTATCCACATATATATTTTTTTATATGCAGCACAGCCTTTTCTAAATTGGTTTTCAGATAGACAACTACTTTTAGACAATCATTTGTCCAGGATAGTAGAAGGTCTTCTGCCTTGGGCAGGCAGTTGTACTAGAAGACTCCAAGGTTAGAATACTGATGGATCGGTTCTTTGATCTGACCCCATCCAAAGCTACTTCATATGCTCTGGTCACATCTCAAAAGGGGGTATTAGAGAGCTTGGAGAAAAGGACAACCAAGATAATCAGGGGCTTGAACAAAGGATATAGCAATCGAGGCTGCTTATCTCAGAAAACAAGCTTAGAAAGAAATAGTACTGAAATACAAAGATAGACAGGTATGCATGCTTTAGCTCTCTGTATTCTTAATTCTTATTTTGCCCAGTCTTCACCGTTCCTAACTGCATGTTAACTCTTAAAGGCAATATTTTTTCTCCTGATTTCTCAAGACAATGTCTCTTCCAGCTAGTTTTTGTCCCTTGGACACCTGCCTTTGTAATAGGCTCAGGTTCATTTGAGTTTGATCTGATGGGATTGCTTAGATCCTGCATAAAGATATCAAAGATTCATTTCATTGTCTCATGTGATAAAAGCTCATCAGTGAATGGACGTAATCTAATATGCATTTGGCATAAACTTTTATCTTTTCTCCTGTGATTTCATACAGGAGTTTCAGCTTCATGAAGTTCTGGGACACCCAAAGAACACAGCATAATTTTGGTGAACCCACCAGTCCCAAAACGTGGCAAGACTTACCTCCAAGGGTCATCCCTGCTTCGTAGCATTTCCTCAGCCGGCAGGAGGGACAGTTTTTCCTTCGGAATTTATCAATGGTGCAGTCATTTCGGCTGGCACAGAGATACTTTTGTTTACCTTAAAAAAGTCACAGTGAAATTTGTCATTAATAGATCAGGGGAACAAGCTGGAACAGGTGGGGTGGGTGACTCTTGCAATTAAAAACACATAAATACATCAATGTATCAATAAATATACAAATCATATCAGATTTGAGGGGTTTTAATCAAGGAAATGGAAGTGCAATCAAGCAAAAATGATAGGGAGTGAGGAATGATGTGCCTGCCCACAGTTTTGTTTGTGCACCTGAATACTGGAGAATCTACATCTATGTAACGTGTCATGCTACCTATGGGGAGAAATGTATCTCTGCCCCAAAGATGCCTCTGGCAGAGGCAGGTCAGAAGCAGGGCCAATTCCAGTTGCTGAGCAAAGGCTGGAAACGAGATGTTTGGGCTGCCACACCTCTGCTCCTGCTGGAAGAGCACGACCCACTGCCAGGCCTCAAGGAAGAAGCTCAGCAGGCCCCACCAACTCTGTACGCAGCTGGCGGCAAATCCAACAAGCTGCGGTATAGAAGGGTGCAGGATATTCTCACACTGAAATCTAGGATAGGAAAAATCAAAATTTAGAATCCCCCTTGTTTGGGGGAAGACTAACTGGAATATTAATTGCCGCCTTCCTGAGAAAAAATATATATAGTATAGTACCGTCCTCACTAATTTTGGTGGTATTATCTGGCTGGGTGGGTTAGTGACACAGAACATTCATAAATATCCAGGCGGCACTGGAAGTGGTGCTCAGCATGAGCACATATATTACCAGCTTTGGTAAGGTTACATTAGCATGCCTGGTCACAGAGGCAGCCAAAAAATTATAGTCCTGACTTTTGGACACTTCCCTCTATCAGAATGATTGAGACGTTTCTTTCTCCTTTAACTCTCAGCTTAAAATGCCAGCAGGAAAAAGAACACTTGGATTAGGCTGGCCAGTAGAGTTCTCTGAACATATGATCCCCCTCTCTCGCCTACGCTGACATGAGGGGTAAAATCACAAGGACGCATTCAGTCCTTTTATTAGTGCACTGATTTTCTTCACCCTCACTACTTCAGAAAAGCACAACTCTGAAACTGCCTTACTAATACACCGATCAGCATATTCCTACTCCTAATTTGCCTCTTGAAAAATTCAAGGCAGCCTTGGGGTTTAAAAAGAATGTAGTACAAAAATGGCAGTTTTTTAAAAAAAAAATTATTATTTTAAGTTATGGACAACTAGAAAAGAAAGTAGGCACAGAGAAACATGGACAAAAATAGAACGGCTAAGTGGAAACAAGGCAATAACAGCATTCCTATATAGGTGGAAGTTCAAACAGGATACGAGGAGGACAAAGGAGCAAATTTAGGGAGCACTAAAGAAAAGAAACCCGCAATAAAGACATATTGCTTGCAAGTATCTGGAGATCATCTAGTCTAACAATCTATTTGATGTAAGGCATAATGGATCAGAAAGCATTCTCAACCAGGTACTTGTGCAGCTGTTCATTCTGAGCTCTGTTTTACTACTGACGGTTTGCACTGTTAAAATGAATTTGTAATCAAAATCTGCAATTCTGTGATTTCTGCTCAGAGATGATATTCCTGCTCCTCTTCCTATACAACAGCCCTTGAAATATTTGTTGCAAGTCCTCTCAATTTTCTTTTCTTCAGGTTAAGCATACTTTTTCATCCCTTTCTCATGAGACTTAATTTTCAGATTGACTGCTGATGTCAGAATCCAATTATATTTCATCTCTAGTTATCAACTATAGAAAACCCCATTTCTGCCTTCCCTGGATTCTGGGTGGGGCTACTGGGGAACCCCTTAAAACCTTGAATGGGAAAGCTTGGACCCCAAGTCCTGTCTAGAACGCCTGCAACCATTTTCTCTTAATAAAAGATGCCTGTTGGAAGAATTATTCCAAGAGTTCTGTCTTCTTAAGATGCAAAGTGGGGTGGGTCCTTACAGCTGCCCTGGTTACCCTCTTGTGAGACACAATACTTGAACTCTTTCCAGATTGATCCATTGCCTTCAACAAATGTTTTAGGATTGTTTGCAAAATAGCAATGGATCATTTGCACCCCATTATCCACTCACTGATAAGTGTATCATGGCAAACCTTTATACTTAACTGAATTAAAGATACTATACTAGGTTGCGGGCATTCTACAATGATCTATTAAACGGTAACTCTCTAAATCAAAGTACACTAGAACAAAATGCTATTGCAAAAATTCTGATTGGGTCAAAGAGGCAACTCAATTCCAGTCTCTTCTGTTCCAGAACTGATTCCTGAGTAAGCCCTCCAAGACCTTTAGATCAGCTGCAGCCTTCTTGGTTTGTGGTTTTATTCAGAGCTCTTTTGGACTTTTGATCACTGATAACTGGCCTGGCTACATGCAACCACCTGACGGGTGTGTTATAAGTTTTATATAAAAAAAATAGGAGACATGCACTTGGCTGATTGCTGGTCTTGGGTCTTTTACTTTTACATTATGGCAGAAACTGATTTTGGAGCACATTGATGCTCTTCATATTTTATAACAATTTCCACATTGCTCTGTTAGTCTGCTGAAGACAAATGGCAACTCAAGGTTTATGGTGCAAACATGATAAGAAACAGTTGGCAATCAGTCACTTGAAAATCTCTCCAGAGGTTTTTTTTTTTTTGCTATGTTTCTATACTTCCTATCACTGATTTATTTTGGATGGTAAACAAAAGAGAAATTAAATATGTTTGTTTCTCAGTTACCTCTCTTTCAGGGAGATCTGTATAATACTAAGTTACTTTTGGAGAATAGCCAATGGCCTTTGTCACCAAAGGTTTATACTGAAATTAATGTGTTGCTTTTTTTAACATGCCAAAAGATACTTCATTAGAAAAATGGGCAGACAAAAAGAAAGGGAAAGGAGAAAAAGCTCTGGATTTCATTTGTTCCTGGACACATGGCCTCTAAAAAGTCCTTTGCTCAGTGCTCCATCCCTGGAGCCTTTTAAGAAGAGACTGGTCAGCCATTTGTCCGTCATGGTACCGGGTCTCCTGCTCAAGCAGAGGGTTGGACTAGAAGACCTCCAAGGTCCCTTCCAATTCTGTAATTCTGTATTCTATTCTGGCTGCTTCTTTGTCTCCCTTTCCTTGGATGGCGAATCTGGGCTGCTTTGAGAGCTCGCACCATTCAAGCACTGGACTTGTGCCTCTTGATGCCCCCACACCACCCAGGTCTTCACTTCCTCTTGGAGAGTAACAAGATTCCTTGGGGAAAAAAAGTGAAAGAGGCGAGACTGGCCAAAGTCTCTCTGCCGAGGAAGGAGGGAAGGAAGGGCTGCTCCAGCGAAGGGAGCAATTCAAGAAATTTGCTCGCTTTGACAAAAAGAAAAGAACAAGAGTGCACATATTCTTATCTCCGCCTGTAACAAAGATGAGATAAGATGATTTAATAATTGGGAAAGAGAAGAATAAAAAAACTGCCCAAGGCCACAAGTTCAAAGACTGAAGTCAGGCAGAAGTGTTGCATTAAAGAAAAGAGAGGAGGAGGAGGAGTTGTGTTTCATCACAAGCTGCTCTGAAGAAATATGAAGTTGCCCAAGAGGAAGCAGCATGAAGAGCCCTGCAACCTCAGGAGACGGAGGAACAAAGTCCGTGAAAATCATCAGGGAGGAAAAGAATGAGGAGAGAGCTGGTGGGAAGGATACAAAAAAGGGGGGATATCAGGGGGCTTGGAGAAAGGAAGGCGACTGCAAAGAAGAAGATGGGAAAGGAGAGAAGGCAAGAAAAGGCAGATACATCCCTTTGGCCTGAGGTGGGGATGGAGAGAGGCCAGGAGAGATGATAACAAAAGTTAGATCTGAAAAGCAGGTTGGAGAAGCTTTAACTGAATGAACAGAGGCGTACAAAGAAGCCTGAAAAGGAATCAGATGGTAATTATTATTGAAGAATTTCAGGGCTTGAGAAAGGCCCACGTATTTAAGACTACAGTGCAGCTGAACAGCTAGTCTCCTTTTCTGTGAACGGGTTGTTTTGGGTAGGTGGTGGGGCTCAAGTTTGCCTGCCTGACTTTTGTCTTGGAAGGTGGCAGCACCTGCCAGACCTGGAAAGGGATCCACAGCAGGATCGGGTTCAGTCCCTATTTGGATGACGAACCACTTGGGTAATGAAGAGCTGCAGATTGAAGACAGCCCTAAAGAAGGCGGTAGAGGACCACGTCTACATCTGTTGCTCAGACATCTGCCTTGCAGTCACCAAGAGGCGAGTTTGAATTCAGCTTTCCCATCCCAAATCACCATGGTTTTTTACACTGAATTGTTCTAGGTTGCCCCTTATACAAAACCTTCCACCAAGATTTTGAAAAGGTATTACTAGAGGTGTATCATGATGTGTTGGAGAAATCTAATCTACCAGACTGCTGGATAGATGCCATCATATCTCTTATCCCAAAAGAAGGCACAGACCCCAAAGAGATTAAAAACTATAGGCCAATCTTGCGGCTAAATACGGATTACAAAATTTTTACTAATATAATGGCTGAAAGATTACAGTTAATTTTACAAAATATAATACATCCAGACCAAAATGGTTTTTTACCCCAAAGACGAATCAGAAACAATATTAGAACGGTGTTAAATGTCCTAGAGTATTATGAAATACATTTAGGAAAACAGGCAGCTTTGATTTTTTTAGATGCGCAGAAAGCATTTGATAGCCTCAATTGGCAATTTATGTTCCAACAGATTGAGGATATGAAATTTGGTGAGAAATTTAGTAACATAATAAAGGCAATATATAGAACACAGAGAGCTAGTGTGATAATCAATGGAGAGAATACAAAAAGTTTTGAAATAAACAAAGGGGTAAGACAGGGATGCCCAATTTCTCCTATACTTTTTATTTTGACTCTTGAAGTATTATTAGTTCAAATTAGAGCAAATAAAGAAATAAAAGAGGTACAGGACAAAGCAGAGGAATATAAGTTACAGGCATTCGCTGATGATCTGGTTTTCTTTATTGAGGAACCTATAGAGAGAGGAAATATTCTTATGGG